TCTTTTGTTTATGCAAAGTTCACTTCATGCGGTGAGTCAGCGGGAGGCCAGTCTGCCACTCACCCTGGGAGCACAAGGGGCATCTCTCCACAAGGAGAAGCTCATTTTCCCCCAATACAGTAGCAGCAAGAGGACAAGTTAACAAGCACTGTTCCACTTACAGGCAAATACCTTCCACCCAGCACCTCTAAAGAAGCCATTTATCCTGTATGTGTAGTCCTGGCACACAGTAGAATTATGTACCAAACAGCCTGCAGGAGCCCAGCGTGCGTTGCTCAACCAAGCACAAACTGATTTAGGAAGGACAAACTACTTTCCCACTGCCCAACAAGCTACGCAGCACATACGGCATGAACCCCAAGACAACCTGTTCCCTCTATGTGTCTGACCAACTTCACAAGTTAGTGTAGAATAGCTGTGTGTACCCTTTGTGGTGGTTTTCTATCACATAAGGGGAAGAAAGAAGATGTATTCCCAACTCTTCCAATCCAGGAACAAAGAGCATCCATGAGAACTGTATGTATTCCACACTAAGTACTTCCTTCCTTGGCATACATCTTGGCACTCAGTCTTTTAGAAAAATAAACTGAGAACAATATACCCCTAAATTATTTAAAAATAAACCCCAAGATTGACTGCTTGCTCAACGTTTGCTCTTATGCCATCTTCCAAGCACACTTACTTTTGAAATTTTTATTGCTATCACCTTATTGAGGTTTGCAATGTTGAATTTCCTTAGTAGGGTGCATTCAATTGAGTTCAGTGCTAGGGAGAGTTGATCAGGGTTGTCATTTTACAAAAGGGGATTGGATTAACAGGCAGTTGAAGTAATCTAGGAATATAAATTTGGAGCCAGAAAATATTTTCTGAAAGTTAGAAGCCCAAAGGCTTTGGTGTTTTGGTTTTGTGTTGGGGGGAGGAAGGGGTGTTGTTGGGTTCCTGTGAGTGTGTGTGGTTTCTTTTGCTGATTGTTTCTTTTGGGGCTTCTTTGTTTTGTTTCTTTAAACTTAAAACACAAACGAGGGTGCCCAACCCTTACTAGTCTCTCCAAGGTTCACTTTAAGACTAACACAACCCAAAGTCTGTTCTTTTCAAGAATGTCCACAGTGTGCAACTAACACTCTTCAGTAAAGGTCAAGACACATAGAGGAAATAGGACTAGAACTAACCATTACTTTGTAGATATTTGTCAAATGGGATAACAGCATCAAACAGGAAGGATTTATTTATAGTAAAACATGAAAAATATCTTGGAGATATAAAAGCAACCCAAACTGCAATATGGGGAATGGATAAGACACCTTTGGGGAGCAGGACGCTTGAACTGAACAAGGCTTCCAATCTGCAATTAAAGAACAGTTACTCAATTCAAATTTCATAAAAAGCTGGCAGTTTATCAGAACCAGTACTTTTTCATTTGCAACACTCTCAATAAAAGTTCTCCCCAATGCTAATACATAATTAAGCAGGTCAATAAAGAAGTTAAACTCACCCTGACTCACAAGTGGTTTCAAGAAAGGCAACAACTTCTTAACACCAATTACGGAAGGTAACTTGGTGTGTGCCATTATACGTGCTCTGTTCCATTAAAAGCAAGTTGTTGCTCTAGTTAATCTTTTTCACTGTAAATTCAAAGAAGCCAAGTTTCCACCTCTTCTTTAACTTGCATTGATGAAAAGTTTGAAGTCCACGGTTTTAGCCTGCTGGCTGAAGTTACGTAGTTACGAAGAGAAGCTGTAGTGCTGTTGCCAAACTCACAGTAGAGAAGCAGTAGCTCCCACAGCTACATGTGCTCAACTACCACAGTTACTCCATACAGCCATTTTATGGTAGGAAGTTGGTGAATGGTCTGGAGTACAAGTCTTATGAGGAGCGGTTGATAAAAAAAAGGATGCTCAAGGGAGACCTTATCACTCATTACAGTGGCCTGAAAGGAGGTTGTAGTGATGAGGGCGTTGGTCTCTTTTCCCAAGTAACAGGACAAGAAGAAATGGACTCAAATTGCATCTCGAAAGGTTTATGATGGATATTAAGGAAAATTTCTTCATGGAAAGGGTTGTCAAGCACTTGAACAGGCTGCCCAAGGTTTGACTCATCATCCCTGGAGGCATTTAAAAGATGTGTAGATATGGCTCTTAGGGACATGGTTTAGTGGTGGACTTGACAGCGCTGGGCTGATGGCTGGACTCAATCATAAGGGTCTTTCCCAACTTTAATGATTCCATTTGACTCGAGCTAGTCTGGCTTGATTCACGTGAACAGAGAAGTACCCTTGACTCAAGCTGTACTACTCAAGTGAGGACAAGTCATTAATCACAATAACATGTTAGCTTCCCATATGCAGTATGACAGCAGACACTGCATGAGAAGTGAGAATATTACGTTCTTATATTAAAAAGGAGATAGGAGGAAAAGAGGTATAAGAAAACAGTACGACTTAAAATACAAAAAAACCCAACTTCCCCAAAGAGCACAGTGTCAAAGACGAAATGTTCTCCTCCAATTTATGGAACCATTTATCTCTACCTTTGACATCAAATGGAAACCAATTGAACTTGCAGGATCTAAAGACAGCTGTTGCTTTCATTTCATTCTTAAATTAAACCATACTCGCTCTACTTCACTCTTTGGTTGACTTGGTGACTCAGGCTGTATCAGCCTCTCAAAGCAACATGATCCTTGTCACCGCCACAAAGCACGTGCCTCTTTATATTCTCCAATGCTAAGCTTCATTCTCTCCAGCTGTAGGCTGTTTCCATGACTTTCATCAGACCCATACAGACCTGACTAATTTATTAGTCACCACAGCAGTGGCCCCCAAAAGGCATTATTGTACACATATACTACTACAAAAACCACACCCATTTTGATTAATTGGTCTTTAGTTCTTTGAAATTCTTTTTAACCACATTCCCCCCTTTTCAAATATCACTCAGGTAGATGTGATACATGACTCATATCACATGCAAGCTTGCTCTGTTGTAAAGCTAAAATAAATTACTTTAACCTAGACATAGTTTGTTCTGAGCATGACTGGTCAAAAAATTTACAACATAATCTATTCCAGTGGCGTCAGCACTAAAGACTAGATCAGCCACCCTAAGTACAAAGCCACCTGCCCCACCAAGGATAAGCATGCAGTATTACTCCCTCTTACACACTGTCCATCCCCTAGATGAGACTAGATTGAGCCAAACTGAAGAATTCAGCCTGAAGACTAGCATAGTTGATATCTCTGCACTAAGCAGCCAAAAGGAAGAATGGGTCAGAAGGCATTGCATGAAAAAATAATAATATACACTTGTATACAACTGTACAGTATCCTCTAAATTCCACGGCTTCAAATATACTATGCTGCCAGGTAAAAGTAGAAACTTGGTCATATTCAATGTCACTGTACAAACAAATGCATAGTACTTGCATACTCTCTTCAGGGACACACACAGACAGCAAAAATGACTTTTTTCAGAAAGAACATTTTTTCTACACTACAGAAATAATAAAACAGCATCCCCAATTTATTTGGGGCTATACACGCTGATGCAGCTTTGAAATTTAAGTAAAAAAGTATGTCTTAAAAAAATGCTTTGAATAGTTGCTCATCAGAGTCACTGATGAAAGATAAATAATCCCTACTGGTCCCCCAGTTGAGGCATGTAACAGATTTCTACTTCAAGCAGTTTATTATGAATACTAACAATGTATTCATTTTCAGCTTCTTAGTAGCAGAACAGGTGACCTGAAAGAAACCATTTTTGCTGCATTTCTTAAATACTGTGTTGGAGGGCTGTTTTCCCCAGTATGAAACCATCCCTAACTCACTCAGCATTGACAGTGACATCACACTTGAATAATCTTTAGGGAGTATCAAAAGGCATACATTTTGCAATAGTCTCCTTTTTAGAAAGTACTTCTGAGTTTCAGAAAGGCCCAAGGAAATCTCTCTGGAAGGTGGACACATTTAAAAGCATGCTCCCCGATACTGAACATTAGCATTTTTTAACAGTTTCTGTGAAGAGTTCTCTCTGATGTAAATTTAGAGCAACTATGAGAAAGTCAGGAAGTGGCAGTGCAGTAAAACTGTGCTGAAGTTGCAGTCATAGCTCTTTAAAACCAAATACGTAAGTAGACTGATTATATCAAGAAAATTACACATGCTCCGATAATTCACTGTTGTCAGGTGGAGATTCTACCAAACTCCTACTAACAGAGAACAAACGAATGGGTACAGCGCTCATTCATTCCACTGGAATTACCTGTTCAGTCAAGTGACAGTGACTTTTCACATCTCTCTACAGTTTCAAAGGTCTGGTCTTTCTACAACTAATAAATATCATGAGCTCATGCTCCCAACTCCCCCAGAAAATCAAAATAATTGCAACCCCTGCTTCTTTGAAATGGTTACAGGCTACCCACTGTATTCTACATTATAAGTACATGCATATACTAAATACAGACAGATGCAGCTTAAGGTCTGAAATGTCTATTCAAAGAAACAACATTTCATAACTAGTTTAAGAAAGACGCATATGAAATTGAAGATTTTCCCTTTTTTTTACTGTTATTTCCCAGTCCTGAACAGTATTTGCACATGAAATACTTAAATCAAGATCATAAACAAAATCAGGGATGATAAAAAGATTGAAAGCATTATTGGAACTGACTTGTTAACACTGTAAGCCCACAGATAATAGCCGAACTTGATGAGATGCATTATTTGGTCAATATTTTTCATTTGGCTTAATGGAACTTGATGGATAGCCAAATGAGAGGCATTCTTTCTTCAACATCCTGAGTCCAGCAAGTATTCCAGTATAAAAGGGCAAAACATTTCAACACAAGAAGACATTTCAACAAAGCATACATCTCTTCACAGAAATGCAGGTGCTGTAGGAAGCAATCACGACCTCTATAAAGGTTACTTTGAAAACCAGTACTTTTCTACCAACTCCCTCAAGACAAAACATGAAATACTTTAAAAAAACAAAATGAAATCTTACGGCTTGAAATGCAGTAAGCCAGCCTGCAGTTGATCCTCCTGAACAGTTGCTTGTTGATTGGCCAAAGTATAAGTGTAAAGAGTTGAATGAAGTTAATGATCAGTCCTGACACTATAAATATGTAGCAGATCAGAAGGTGGCAAATGAATTGAGACTTCAGAAAGCCAACGATGTCCATGATTTGTTGAGAAAGCAAGAGGGTACCTTCGGACACAAAATTCAGAAGACAACCTGCAAAACCAAATAGTATCAGCAGTTACAGAGTGCATTTATTTCTATAAACAGACTTAATACAGGCTTCACATTTTACATTTAAATACACTAAATACACTAAAACAAAACTTATTGTAGAAAAAGCCCTGATGACAATATTTGCAAAAGTAAGTATGGAAAGAGAATATCATATTTCTGAATCAATTTACATTTTGCTTTGTAAACAAATTTTCACATTTTAATCCTAATTCTACAAAACTCATGAGCATATGACTCCACTCCTTGGACTACAGTACTCCTCTACCAGGTCTTTATTGATAAAAAATAAGTAAATAATCCACTTACATTGTGATTTGAATTGTCTGTATTTTATTTATAAGACATAAACTGTGACATCTGCTATCTTCAAGAGCAGCTCCAAAGTAAAACAAGTTTTAGAGCCTTGTTAGGATTTGTGCCTTTTTCTACAAGCTATGCCAGCCATGCTCTGCAACCTAAAGGTAGCAGCCCTTTAATTCTACCCTTATTGCCTTATTTCTGTCTCACATTCAAATAACAGTTGATTTTAGCAAGAGAATAAAAGCTTGGCTATGCACAATACACAGAATTTGTTCAAGTATTCCTCGAAACTGCAATTCTGTCAGTTATAATCCATAAACTCAGAAAGGAAACATCAATAACAGCAATGACCCATGACCCAGCAGTGTTTTCAGAAAGAAATCAACTCTTAGGTTACTTGAGAAATGTTTTTATAATTTTGGAAAGGTCCAGTCCAACCTTAGCAGTTGAGCATTCAGAGTAAGTGTCCTCTGCAGGGTATTCTGACCTACTAAACACTTTACTGACTTCCCCCCACCCTCATTACCACCAACACTAGTATGAAGACATGACCTCTCAGTAAACACTCCCCACCCCAGTATTCTGAGAACAGTTAAACAGCAGGTGCTGCCATCTTGTTCCATTCCTCTGCTGTTTCCCCCTCTGAGGTGTAGAAGAGTTTTCCCAGCGAGGAAGTCCTGAGACAGTATTTCTGAATGTGCCAGTCACATGCAACAATAAGACAGCAGCCGTCAGCATCCCAGGGAATTAACTGATGAAAAAAAATCTTTATGCTTATCCTTTTAGTCTATATGAGACCCCATTTCGTGAGGCACTGAGTCTAGATCAGTGTCCTGAAACATTTGTTTTACTGCCCTTGCTGACTCTGCTTACCACAGCAAAAAGCACACACAAGAATCACTGCAAAGCCTTCGGAAGTTAATTAGCCAGGTCTTCAACCGCAAGGAAGATAAAGAAAAATTTAAGAAAGAGAACTGGTACTGTTCTATAATTTATGTAAAGAGTTTATGGCAGTCCCAAGCCTATTATTAGCAGACAAAATGTGCCCTTTTGTTCCCTTTACCTTGCTGTACTATTCATTACGACAGCTGACACCAGCTGTAGCTCAGAACGGCAGAACAGGCCTCTATTCTTTGTAGTAAGCACTGCCATGATACTAGCAAAAAGCTCGTCCAGCTTTAACCAGCCTTTCTATTAAAGACACGATTCTTAGGGTAGCAGACAATTTACTAGCTGGGGCTTTGACCAAATGCTTTGGTTTTGTTGAAGGCTAAGCAGAATGAGAAATGTCTAGTAGAATTCATTGTTGTGTTTCATTCTCCAACCCTTCCATTGCACACTCTGAAGACTGAGCCAAAAATGAAACAAAAAAATAAAAATTAAAAGAAGGCAGAAAACTTCTTTTAAACAGTCAGGATGGAAGCAAGCAACCAGCCGCTTACAAGTGGATGGTTTAAAAGACTGTACAGTGTCCAAAACCCTGATGACTGGGTTTATCCCACCATCCTTGGCTAAAACTGGTCAAAAGTCTTCTTGTGTTAGTCAGTCTGCTTAATTCCATCCCACAAAATCACTCTAACGTAATTCCCAGAGATCAATAAGGCACTGGATAAAAGATAAAAACAACAGCCATAAATAAAACAGGACTGGAGCACTATCGACTTACAGTGGAGACCTGAACACTCACTGTGATATAATCAACAGAAATCTACTGTAGTAAGCAGCCGATCAACAGACTTTGTAACGAGGACAAATCAGTCATTTTGTCCACCAATTAGTCCACCAGCTCTTTTTGTTTTAGTAACTTTTTAATATAATAGCAGTCAAACTGCATTAAAATGTTACATTTATGTGAATCATTTACTTCATGTTGGGTCTTTAAAACAAAACTTCATGGAATTAAAATAAACAAAGACGAGATGACCCTGATAAAACAGTTATTGTCTTACAATTTTGTGAAGTCACAATGGAATCTCAGAAAGCAATTTATTCCTTGCTTTCACAGCTCAGCCATCAAATTTCAATTCTGTAAAGTTTCTAAGACCTGTTTGTAAGATAAACTAAATTTACTTCAGCAGTACCATTGAAATGCATCTAATCTAGCTTGCTTGCAAAAAGAACAAGAAGCCAGAGACACTACTCAAATTTTTATTTTCTGAAAAGTAGGGAGACTACATAGAATAATTTTCTCTTCTAATTAAATGCAAGCTGTTTTTCCTACAGAATTTGCAACTCAAGCATTGTATACAGAGTGCTAGCTAAGTGTTGTTTCTCAGACGTAAGCTCGTTCTTATTAAGTGGGGGGTTTTTTAATATGATAGTTTTTGGACTGTTTTCATACCCAAACTCCAAGAAATACAGTTTATTCTTGGTACAAGTAACAAAAAGAATCAGTTCTGAGCTTATGAAAGAGATCTACAAACTTGCTTTTTAAAAGTTCATGATGAACATCTTCCACTTACTCTTTGTCTTCCTAAAGCTCCTCATGGGTAACATCAATATAACACCAGTTTAAGTGTTAAAAGAATCAGGTCTTTAATTCTTAATCCATGATGCTGGTTTAATAAATTACACTGATTTCCTTGTAGATAATGACTGAAAATTACAGCAGTCTTTTGAAAACAAAAGGGCCAATCAATGCATTTTCTCAGAAGCTATTAAGATCAGAGAGCTGCCAAGAAGCTCTATTCTATCAAACACCCGTTAAAATTAATTAGGAGAAAATGGCCAGCCACTGCATCTAAACCAGACGGGCATTCCTTAATAACAGTTTTCCTTTGGATACAGAACGAAAGACTCAAACCTCAAATGTCTGTCTAGAGAGCAAGTCAAGAAGCATCTGCTCATGTGACTAAGAGATCACATGATCAGGTTTAAGAGCAAACTACACAAATATCCATTCTAACTCTTTTTCCTCCAAGTTTCATTCTTCAGCAAGATCCATTGTGTCTTCAACTACTCTCAGGATTTCCTTCTGCTTAGAAAAATTGACCAGGAGGACATAGAAGTGATATGCAAGGTGAACAATTCCATGCCAGCAGCGGCTGCTGCCAGTGAACTGTTCTATTTTATACTTTATCTTTTATACTTTCATACTTTATATTCCATGTTTTGAGACTACAACTAGAGATCTCATAGTGAACACAACTGTTTGCACTTCTACAGAAAGCACAAGAATGAAGCAAAGAACTGTCACCCACTGTTTCCAAAGTTTATGTAGTAAATAGAGTCCTTGGAGTGTGGAAAATAATATGGTACTTATTTGACAGCATTTAGATTAAGCTGATATTGTCCATACTTACAAATAGAGGAAAGTCAGCACTATACCTCTTTTTTTTCAGTACAATGTGTTTCAAGCTTACGCAAAAGTTTTCACTTAAGTCTACTCTTTGATGAAGTCCTTAAATGCTTTGCTGCAATCTAAGAACAACCAAACTGATGATGCTGCTGCCTATTCTTGTATTTTCTCATATTTGGATGGATGAGTTACAGAGACTGTGAAAATATCTCAGGTCAGATTAAGCAGTTTCAGTGGTGCCTCTTAAGCGAATTTCAGTTGCCATCAAAACCCCTGTACTTGTCACTGGTGAGGCCACACCTCAAGTACTGCGTCCAGTTCTGGACCCCTCACTACAAGATGGATATTGAGGTGCTGGAACAGGTCCAGAGAAGGGCAACTATGCTGGTGAAGGGTCTAGAGCACAAGTCCTATGAGGAGTGGCTGAGGAGCTGGGGTTGTTTAGCCTGGAGAAAAGGAGGCTCAGGGGGGACCTCATCACTCTCTACAACTACCTGAAAGGAGGTTGTAGCCAGGTGGGCGTCAGTCTCTTCTCCCAGGCAACTAGGGACAGGATGAGAGGACACAGCCTCAAGCTGTGCCAGGGGAGGTTCAGATTGGACATCAGGAGAAATTTCTTAGAGAAAGGGTGATTAGACATTGGAATGGACTGCCTAGGGAGGTGGTAGTCACAGTCCCTGGAGGTGTTTAAGGAAAGACTGGATGTGGCACTTAGTGCCATGGTCTAGTTGACAAGGTGGTGCCAAGGGTCTCTGAGGTCTTTTCCAACCTAAGTGATTCTATAATTCTGTGAAAACAGCACAGATAGCAACACTGTATTTCACATCCAAGTCCATTTTAACAATACTGCTGTATATGAAATGCATATGCAAAGCAAGTTACAGGAAGCCCTTGTGCTCTTCTCTTTCTGTCTGTGAACATCAAAAGTTAGAAAAAAGTGAGGTCACGTCCATGTATGTATTCACCTACAAGCAGAATATCTTTACTCACCACACCAAAAAAATCCCCCAAATCAATCAAATCTGGAGGAAGAATTATCCATCTATTTGCCTCATGCTTAATTAGGGTTTCAATCACTTCCTACCTCCCTCAAAGGCAACTACTAGAGCATTATCCCCTGTGTTGGGTTTATACGACAAGGTTTTGGTAGTCAGGGGGGGTGCAGAGATGGCTTCTGTGAGAAAACACCAGGAGCTGCCCCACATCAAATAGAGCCAGTTCCAGACAGCTCCAGAAGGGACTCACCTCTGGCCAAAGCTGAATCCATGAGTGACACTAGTGGAATCTCTGTGATAATGTTCAGGAAAGGATTTAAAAATATTGTGGGGTTTTTTTTTTACAGCAGCTGTGAGTGAGGAGTGAGAAACATATGAGAGGAACA